AAAAAAGCAAAATTTTGGGTGCTCTTGATAAAGTGTGCCTATGTGAACCATATAACAGTCATTTACATGTAATACAAGTTGTAGTTCCACACATGCAATGTTAACATCTTCACCTTTATGATAACCCACAGATAGCAGAAGATATATATCCTAAAGTAAAAGAGAAGCTAAGCAATAAATTCAACCACATGATAGGAAATGATGCAGGAAGGCTGATAAAGTTGGATGTTCGAAACTTACAGCTCTTCCAAAAAAACAAGGAAATCGATAGAAATATACCACTTAAGTTTAATGCAATTGTCCAAAAAAGACCAGTTAGGAAACCAGACTTATGAATATATACAGGGTTACATCAATTTGTAGTATTTGCCTATACTGTATGTCAGATTGACTTACATCTAGATACTGTACTTATCAGTTATCTCAACACTATTGTGTTAATTCTGCCAGTTCTAAGAAAGAACTTGCAACAGTAAGTTGAAATGTTCTATTTCATCAAGATTTCCAAAGTTCTAGTCTTCATAAAATCAGTTGAAAAGATAGTATTTCCAAATCCTCAAGCAGACCGATTTCAGCATCCAGTTGTAACTATGATGCTAGTGAAATCAACTTGATTGATATCATAATGCGACTGAAAGTACTTATCAGATTTAGCAAGATCTACAGAAGCTTTGAAGGATGCACCAATCTTAATCATGCTGAATGACACCCTAATATTGATTCATGCCCGCAAAGTAAGATTATAAACAAATAACATGTAAGCTAATAACAGAAAACCTTGGTCAATAGTAAATCAAATTCTGAGATTGTCATTTTCGATGTGAGTTTAGACCTTAGATTACATGTCATCAATTTGCATGAATTATGTATTAGCATGAACATCAAGTCTATTGTATTATTTGTATTATAAGGATTTTTGCCTAAAGCTGAGGTCAAAGATGTTAGTATGCAGAGAGTATGTCATTCTGATACTCATACAGAGATCACGATAGTTGAAAAAACTTATTAGCCATTGTGGCTAAATCTTCCAAAAAAAATTTCGCCAACCAAAATATGAATTAGCCATTTTGAAAAACTGTAAAAAAGGGAACATTAAAAATGATGCAATGTCTGATGATGACAGTTTCACTTTCAGTTTCACTTTTCAAAATCATATTCAGAAATAAAAAAAACGTCAATTAAAATTGAATGTAAAGCATCTGCCGCGAATGTGATCGGCATTTCACATAGTCTGCACGGTGTAATATCACCAATTCGTTTACCTTGTGATATCGGAGTCCCAAAATACTTCCAAACTGCCGACTTTTTCGACTTAGATGCCGGCTCGATTTTTCAATTTCTTTCCTACATCCGGCATACTGATAATGCACTCGATTTGCGAACGACGATGAAGAAATTTACGAACAAGCATTACCATCTACCTGAAATCGCGGGTCCGTTAATAACACTTTTCAATGCAAAGAAGTGTAAACTAGGTACAAGGTAAGTGAAAATATTTAATTTTTCAGAACGAAGTCGGAGGTGTTCCTCGCTATTTATACACGTTTTTATGCATTCTAGGGAAGGAATCTATGTACCGATATTAACCCTTTCTGTCCCATGTCCCGAACCGAAGCATCTGGACCGAAATTCGGTCCAATATCGGGAAACCGTGACAACTCTAATTTGCCATAACTGCGAAATACCTTTACATATTTTTTCGCCACCTCTTTCGAAAATTCGCGATTGGCGAATGGCGAACGTCTACCGTGATCTCTGACTCATAGCATCTTTCTGTTTCACCTGGAACATCTCAGGGCTGAGAAGAAATGAGATGCCATGGTTTATCATGATGACAGAATGTAGGCCTTTTGAATTTCCTTGGATAGAAAGGGAAGACTCGGAAGAGGTAATAACTGGGGATTACCTGTAACATTACCTTTATATTCAAACCAACTAGAGAGTAAAATCTAGTGATGGAAATCATTTTCAATACAATAGCTAAACCTGGCAAAATAAAAATCAATTTTTGGTTAGAGAGATTACGTTCTGGGCTCTCCTCAATATTACACTCTAAAAATAACAAAATGAAAATAATGAATGGAAAAGCAGTTTTACAAAAGTGAAACAGCCTAATATGATTATGATTAAATAACATGATATAAAACTTCCCAAGCAAACTATATGTAACTTAGTTGTCCAACTGTCTTATATCGCTAGGGAAACATACTAGTCCAACAGCCAACGTGGGCATGAAAAAGAACTCACAATTCCAAACATTATAGGATTTTCATAGAATCGCAATACAATTATCTAAAAGAAATGAGAAAAAGCGATTGAAAACAATGGAGAAATGAGATATTAATTTTTCATTCATTCTTATTGAAGGTGGAGTGTTTTATTTTTATCGATTCTTGTAGTCTCAATACATTCTATTGAACATATTGCAAGCCAACAAAGGTGAATAAATATGCAATTTTACCTTAAACGAGTTCAACTCAATATAAGATGTGAAGACAAATTCCAACATATTTGATTTAAAAACAGATCAAATAAGGCTCTAGAATACAATTTTCTTTATATGTATTTACCACTCCTCGGTTGAAGGTTAATATATGCTTAGAAGGGTGAATTGTTGACCAGTTTAAATATAACAGTTCACATTCTAAATAAAATATCACATTGTAGTCTGCCCACATTTAACAAAAAAAGTTGCATGTAACTTGCATGTATATTATTAGGAGGCCCTATTAGATAACTTGCTGAAATATGCAACTAAAATAACGAAAACTGCCATTTTTCAATTATGGACAACTTCTGCATTCTAAATCTCAGATTGCATACCTAATAACTGTTATAACAGAAAGGAGATCAGAATGACATTCCTCTCATCAATATCTATTTTGCTTGACAATAAATGGTCCTGGTGATATCCAAAGGGACAAATATGATGATTTAATATCTAATTTTGACAGCTTTATAATTGAAATATCATATTCTATTATAATGCAAATATTAGACATATAATCATCTGATCAAAATATGCTATATGAACGCAGACCACAATTTCATATAAAAATATTTTTATTTTTATCAAATCATAACCGTATGTGATACGAGACATCAAAAAGCCTACACAAAATGATGAAAACAACTTCTGTTTACTAAAATCTACGAGAATCAAATCAATAATTGGTTGACATTTCTTAAAATAACATTCCATTGAGTATAATTTTAGATGGAACTGAACATGACATTTTGTAAATGTCAGGCTAAACTACGATGAAAGTCTATAATGTATATCTCAAAATCCATTCTAAATCCTCTATATTACGGATATTTCATCAGAAATAAATAGTATTCGATTGCTAACTAAAACACTTGCAGTACGCTTTATTAAAAAAAATAATCATGTAGTTTTCTTATGATTGATAGTATCCTCTCATATATCATTAAGTCCCGGGCTCAGTTGTCTAATATATGATTGAAAATTAACATCTATTTAGAGGCTGAGTGTATAATTACGCTCTAAAAAGATATGATAATGATTCCAATTAACTCAATGCTTCAACAGTTGATTGCAGTATGTCCCTATGGGAGAAACAGTTATATTGTATCCCGGGTCTTGTATTTCTGATATTCATCATTCTTTCTAATAAATAGACAAATATAAATAAAAAAACACTAGGTTTCGTTTTTGCATAATGGGAGAAAATTTGGAACCAGGGAAAACTCAGTTATTAGAAACTAATATTGTTTATGATTAGTTTTACTGTAACAACTTATATCTCAAGTTAATTATGTTACCTATACTATCTATTCCAGATGGAAACCGATAAGAAATAGCCAAATCAGGGCGATATCACATCTCATATCCTCTACAGAGGTTCCGTTGAGAATGGCAGTTTTACATTTGGCAGATAATTCAAAATACCATGAATGCCAAAAGCATGCCAAATATGAAGCTGACTTTCATAACTATTATGGTAAAATGTTAAGTATATTTACAACACACTAAAGTGCAAGTATATTGAAAAGTTCATTCACATTTTGGCAACATGGCATATTTCTCTTCATGCACAAAGTTATAACCACATGCCTATTTGCTTGAACCCCCAGGTTTTTGGGCCAAATTAAACAAATGTAAACTTCCTCTAGGCCATAGAATTTTTGGAAAAGTGAACCCACCTTGGCAAAAGTTGGCTATGGGCCTGAACCACATGATGAAGTTTTTCTAAATCATTGATGAAATAGGTACAAACATGGTACAAAGTACAATATTGTTTCATATTTACGTGGATTATTATATTGTTCAAAAGGAGTAGAAATTATATTTTCTCATTTTTTCTTTTTACATTTGTGTGAAACTGCAGAATATTCATAACTTCATACCCATTAGATTCTATTTACACGAAGTGTAGAATTTCTTCAAGTCTGATCAGACACCTGTTAGATCATCAGTCCAAAAATTCAGGAATCTTAGACCACAACAAACTTGAATTTTGAAGTGAGCATGGAATTATGTATCAGCAGGCCCGTAGCCAGGGGGGGGGGGTTCGCAGGGTTCGGGCGAACCCCCCCCCTGGCCAAAAATTCTTTCAAAATCATGCAGTTTTTCACCATTTTGAGCACTTCTCTTGTGATTTTAGCCATATTTGGGCCAAAATTGTCAAATGTGAACCCCCCCCTGGAAATTTTTGAAAACTGAACCCCCCCTTGGCAAATCCTGGCTACGGGCCTGATCAGGTTGTTTTAAACATGAAGATTTGGGGAATCAACCAAAGAGTGTTCATGAAATACAACGCATAAACTATCCTCGTAATTATTGAATTGTAAAATTGGGAGTGGACATTGTTTGGCATAGAATCAATGAATCACATTTGTTTTTCTCAATCAAAATTCAAACAAATTCATTTTCAATTCCCGAACATATTTCATGCTTAATACATTCAAAATATAGACAGAATATTAATATAGTTAATAATTCACACTTTGTTAATGATTTATTAAAATATACTCACGTTTTATCTGTTTATCTTGCAGTTATCTCGACTTCAATTCCCAACTGGTTGTTTTCGAAAGAAGGCGTGGTTGTAGTATAATCTCAGAGCAAAATGGAATGGTTAAATATAGTCTCAAAACTAACTCAAAACATCAACAAACAACGTTTGTAAATGTTATATATTAGGATGTACTCTTGTTCTGATCATATAAATACTATAATTATGAACTGATTTTATTAATTTAGAACGAAGCTTATAAAGTATCATTGACAAAATTGTGTTGGATGACCAACCAGGTAAAAACATACTGACCGCATGTATACAAATGAGAAGTACATTGCTTAGATATATACAAACCCCTGGAGCAGTTTTTGGATTGGTAGTGATATTGTGACTTAAATAAATTCAACATTCTTTTTCTCTTAAACCAATTTTTGAAAACTATCTGTTTTAGATCTAGAACACATTGCTTTTAGCGTAATTGTTTTATTTTCGAAATGCCTATTCGCAGTGTACTTAGCTCTCAAAATATACATGCAATGGAAAGTTTGGTTCATTGAAAATATAGCATTAAAAAATTGAAATAAAAAGCCCTAAAATAGATCATATTAAAATATACCAAAGTATACCCTTTATTTTATTTTTAAGAAAATCATTTTAAATGAACCAAACTTTCCTACAATATTGGGCGACCTAGGTATGTTGTGTACATGTCAACATTTAATATATGGTACCAAGAGCAAGACAGTTTCTGGTGTGTGTTTCTAAAACAATATATAATAAAAAGTAGATGAATTTCAAATTAAAATGTTACCATTCAAAGATCACCATTGATCACTCATTCTACAAAAAGCGTGATTTTTGCTGTCACACACATTATCTTGTATATATATCATAATAAACAGATTCCATACCTGTTATATCATGTGTTTTATGTTCTTTACCATATTAGAAATAAAAAAATACGATTGTTTCACCTGTGTTGTGTTTGTTATTGTTGTCTCACGCCGGAAATTACGATAGGGGTCTTGAAAACAAGGTGTCACAAAATTGAATTTCTTAATTCATTCTTCCATTATGGTATTATGCGATGGGATCCACCCAATGTATCACATCCACAGTAGTAAGGGGGTCTTCTGCTTTACTTTACTGCTTATTGTCCATCAGTTTTGTTTATTTTCTGATGTTTTGGGGATTTTGAATAAAGTCACTCATTTCCGGCAATCTACGAGTCAGACTATGATATGGTACAATACTGACACGATAACTGACCCCTATGTCCTGTTTTAACACGCAAAATGATTCATACCCGAGAGGTTAATATTTATGAATCGTGATTTTAATATATAATTCAACCAAGAGTCAACAGCATGATAAGGAATAACAAAAACAAAAACGTTAAATTTTACTTGCCAATTTACGAGCACCCAATTCTGACAATACAGACACATACACATATCAATGTATCTAGCAAAAAGGATAGGCGACTAAATACTCAATCGTATGTACAAACATTGCACCTCAGTCCATTTCCTTATTGGCACATGGTCCAAAAGACGGCATTGCACAATTTACGAGCCACAATTTACGGGACAACCCCTAAAATTAGATACGAAAATTAATGATAAATCAGCATTGAATAATAGGGTACGACATCCTACTTTACGACAGTGAAAGAAAAGTGAAAGAGAAAGGTAGGCATTTTGTTTTGTGACTAATATTGTGTAATTTATCACCCCTTACCAGTGAAGCGTCGCTCTTCTCTTCAAATAAAGATAGCTTATGATACGTTTACACTTCTTATAGCATGAATAAAGAATATATGACTGAAAAACGTGAAAAATTATTGCTTTGATATGCACACGTATGTTCCAACATCATGAATTGATGATGTCCCGTATATTGTGTCATGTCCCGTATATTGTGTAATTACACCTATCTAAAGTTGATTGGATATACGGATCAAACTTGATATAATCGAAATGATTTTGCGAATTCAGCTTTATATAATGTCTAAATTTATTATTTCCTCCAAAAATGATACCAACATATTCATCACAATATCACAGTACGGTACACAAAATGAGTCCCGTAAATTGGCCTTGTAAATTGTAATTGTTGTACCTTACTTTGAACCCATTAATAACACTCAAATTATGAAGCATTGCTTCCATTTGTATATGACACATTTCCCATGCATTACTAAGTAACTTAATTCAGTCTGAATACTATAACTAGTAACTATTTGCAGCAACAATGGCAAAGAGTAAAGCACAGAGGATGAAAGAATATAGGGAGAGAAAGAAACAAGAAATGGGAGAGGACTGGCTAAAGAAAGAACGCGAACGTGTTAAAAAGTATTATATACCCCTAGAACTACTACCAGCAAAAGATAGAAAAAGAAAACAAGCTATAAACAGGAACAATTGGCAAAACTTTAGAACCAAACGTCAAAAACCGAATGACAGCTCTACTCCACAGCCTTCTTCAAGTAGCGAGAATGAAGTTACTTCAACAACTGGTTATTTACAGTTGCCATCATTGATGGACAGTATAGATAAATCAAGAAAGAGTAGTGGCAGGAAAAGGGTCAATCGTGCACTATCTAGGGCTCACGGAAAAATTAAACGCCTTCAGAAGACATCAGCAAAGAATAGAAAAATTATTTCTAGGTTAAGAAAAAAAGTAAATGACTTAAAACCCGCTAATACCCCAAGAAGCAAAACAGATAAACTTCTCAAAAAATCTGGATTTTCACCAAGCAAAGTGCCTAGAACAATTAGAAAAAAACTTATTTTCTCAGAGTGCGTCAGTGATGAGCTTAAACAATCAAACCAAAAAAAACCTATTTCTGGAAGGATCCTGAAAAAATACAAGTTGGCAAATCAGCTTAGGAACTCTGGGTATACATGGCGAAAATTGAGAGAGAAAAAGGCAAGAAAGATTGGCAATCAGAAAAAGTATGATGAGATAAGAAGTGATGTGATTGAATTTTTTGAAAGAGACGATAACTCCAGAATGATGCCAGGAAAACAAGACTTCTCCAAATCCAAGGATGGAACGGTATTCATTTTCTCATAGTATTCTACTAGTAAATACATTCTGTTGTTGACATTTAACACTATATTTAAGTATCAGACTCAAAACTACATAGATATATTTTACATAGACTGGTCCATTATGCTATATAGGGGTGATAGGTTCTTAAAGCTCATATAAGAAACGCTTTATCCAGTTATCACCAATGTGTGATTGTTTTCATTTAACGTTAAGTCCTAGTATTTGTTTATTTGTATTAAGCACAAAGTTAATAATTTCAAAATTTTCTAGTTGTTTGAAAAAGATATATGAAATACTAGTAAATCGAAAATTTGCAAATTATTAACTTTTTGTGTTAAGTTATTTTAATGATGTAATGCAATGTTTCAGGTTCGTCAGAAGAGGGTATTAAATGATTACTTACACAACCTCCATCTCAAGTACCTGAGTGAGTTACCAAGGCACAGAATATCCAGGGCTCTATTCTGCAGGCTGCGTCCCTCCTTCATCACTCTTGTCAATTTTTCATCAAGATCAACTTGTCTGTGTCAGAAGCATCAGAATTTTACTCTTAAACTACAGTGTCTTAAGAAATTAAATCTCTTTACCTGCATCAATCCAGATGTATTTGTTAGGGATGTTTCTTCAGACCAGTTAGCCACTTCACTTTCAAATATAGCTGAAGAAACCGTTACATTCCAAGAATGGAAAAGGGTTAAAGTAGATGATAAATTGAAATGCAAAATTATCTCTACAAAAGTAGAAAGAGCAAAATTTAGTGATATAATGTTGAATGAGTATAATGCTTTTGTGGAACATGTGGATAAAATAAAAAAGCAATACTATGCTATCAAGCAGATGAAACTAAACATGTCAAGTCGCGATGTAATTATTCAAATGGATTTTGCGGAAAACTATACATGTCAAGTTCAAGAAGAGGTCCAAAGTGGTTATTGGAACCAAACGATGGTTACTCTACACCCGTGTGTTGTATACTACAAGGTGGAAGATGGTGGAGAACTTTTCCACTTGAACTACGTGTTTTTAAGTGATGTTCTTAGTCACAATGCCACAATGGTCAATTCTATCATTGAAAAATTAATACCTATTGTCAAAGAAAAGGTATCAGATGTACAGAGGGTACATTATTTCACAGATTCCCCAAGTAGCCAATATCGAAACAAAACAATTTTTTATATTGTGATGCATCATGAAATACGGTTTGGCTGTTCGGCATCTTGGCAATACTTCGAAGCAGGCCATGGCAAAGGACCATGTGATGGGATTGGCGGGGTTGCTAAACGAGATGCGGATAACGCTGTTAAACGTGGGTTTTCAATACAAGATGCTAATGAATTCCTGTGCTGGGCTATTCAAGAATCCCAGCATATTAACTATATTTTTGTCACCAAAGATGAGTATGAGATAAGTGTGTCCCAGCTTGTTGAATATAAAAATTCAAAACCCATCAATGGTACCATGCAACTCCACGGGGTTTGCACTTCGAAGTCTGGTGATGGCGTATCTCTCCATACCAGAGATACTACATGTGTGTGTGAAGAATGTTTCACACCTAACGGTTTCCTCCCCAATCAACAGTGCAATTGGCAGGAGAAGATATCAAATTTAAAGTTTCTCAAACTGAGATTAAAACTTGGAAGCACATTAATTCAGAGATACACTATGGTGGTCTGACTTAATTTCTTTGACATGCGCATATACGATAATTTGTCATACAATATTGTTGCATACAGAACTTGTTATTGTGTAATTAAGACTCTAGCATAAGTGCCTAATTTACGAGTCATTTTGCACTGTGAACAGTAAAAGGACAGAACAATGCATGACGTTTATGGCTCACATTTATTTCAATGGTATTTACATAATTGCACAACAAATAATGTTGTGGTTGAAATTGTTACATACATGTTTGTCTTCTGGACAGTTGCTACCAGCATCACGACTGAGTATGCAATTTACGAGACTTTTGTTGTAATTCAGTCTTTCCTGAACTGTTGTGGGAGTTTAATTAAGAGAAATAACATTCAAAGCTTTGCTTGTGTCATCTGAAGATAAAGTACATTTATGTTGATTCCATAATCAAGTCTTATTCATTTTATACATAATACAATATACGGGACAAAATATGGCAATCTACAGGACATTATCTTGAGAGATGTAGCAAAAAGGGCAGTCAATACTCGATAGCCATAATTTGTAGCGTAATTATGCATAGTTTGAAGTTCCTAATTTATCTACATGAATGACGAGAATGATGCATGGCATCAGTTTTATAATAAACAATACATCGTACTTTATGCTTTATTGGGGTGTAGACCCTGGGTCAGTTAACGTACATCTTGTTGAAAAATTAAGAATCGATGTAATTTTTGATACTCTTTGAACAATACATGCAACAAACTTTTATTTTCCTCTTCCAATACAATTGTTGACTATATCAATACTCATTAATGCTGTATACCTAACAAGACGATGACTCGTAAATTGGCGAAAGTGAAAATTTTGACCTGACGTTTGTATATTTCTGCCAATTACAACTTCCGCATTTCGAAAGCGAGGCTGCCCAAACTTTGCCAGAATAACAAGTCAACTACAAACTTTAACGTAAGCACTGAAATTAGTTCGGTTTTAGAGTTTTATTTCGAATTTTTTTTGACAGACTTTTGTCACGCTTTTTGTAGAATGAGTGTGATGATGTGTAAATTTTTCAGAATTTTTAGATGACTTTAAAATGTGTTCAATTTTGTTCACCATATCGCTACCAGTCCTCTATCAAATCAGAAATGAGGATTTTAGGGTCTTTTGTACATACAGCATAATCTCTGTAAACCATCAACACTAAATTCAAAACTATGGCACAACCTTTCGTCATCAAGGAGTTTATTTAAATTCAATTCATAAAAAAAACTGAGAACCTGTAGCTGATTATTGGCATTGAAAGATAACATGCACCAGGGGCGGATCTGGGAAACAACAAGGGGGGGGGCCCAAACTTATGGTCTGAGAAAAAAAACGTCCGCGCTTGCGCGGAAAAAAATTTTGGGCCCCAAAAACCCAAAAGTGGGCCCAAATTTTGAAATTTTGAGGCCCATTTTCTTCAAAATTTGGCCTAAAATTAACAAATAAGGCCTTACAAGGCAAATTTATGACCAAAAAGGCCTACTTTTCGGGGCCTTAAAGCCAATTTTGGCTCAAAATTTTTTTTGGGCACAATTTCTTTTTCTGGGCCCACCCAAGGGGGGGGGGGCCCGGGCCCCTGGGCCCCCCCCCCATATCCGCCAGTGTGCACTTAAAAGCACCCTCCCCTTATTAGATGCTAAACTAGTTTTGTAAAGAAAAACCAGGGGTTTTCCTTGAATATACTTTGTACACCTTTTTGATTAGATGGGGTTTGTAGTACCACAGGATGTACTTTGTAACTATAGGTGAGGTACATCTGGTGGTACACACCCCATATATTGTATCCCAAAATACCTCAAGATGGGGTAGGTTTTTCCTGAGACCAAAAAAAACAAAACAAAAAACATATTCTAGATTCATTATTGAAAGCACCTTTTAGGTCTACATCTTTATTTGTTGAGAAAACACAAATATACAAAATATTTACAAAAATGTACAGTATATAGGAAATCACATCATCAATATATTATTTGTTGATAATCTACATAAAAAATATTATTACAATGGACTTATGTAATTCTAGATGGTTGGAATGTTATCAAATCTCATGTGAATTTTTTAATTGAAAATGATTCAGTCAAAATTGACATTCTACTATAAATGTACCGTATGTGCATTTACTTTCCTAAATGATGTTTAAAAAATTGTAAATATTATGAACCATATATTGGTTTTTATCTTCTCTTAGAAATACAAATTCTCTCCGATACAATAGTGTGAAATTCCTAATTGCACAGATTCACATAAATAAGTCTGAATTAAATACATGTACCACATAAATCTAGAATTATGCATCAATTCTTTCATCTGTAAATGCAATGTTAAACAATTATCTCTTGCTAATAGATTAGAATATCAAGCACCTGAAAAACAACATCTATGAATTTTGGATACTAAAACAATCATGTTTCATCATAGAGTTGATTTTAAGTTACTCCTTTAGCTATTTTCTGTATTCATCTTTAATTTGGCGAATCAAAAAAGTTGCCAAAATCCCCGGGGATTCAACTTGTGTTTCATTCAGCTAACTTCCAGTTATAAGATTGCCGCAGCCTTTAAATTGTTTTCAACAATTAAACTGGATTAGGCGGGAGGGTGTATGAAATTAAGTAATGCCAAATTAAAGACGAATACAGTAAATGGTGGATATGCCTCGGAGATAGAGGGAGAAATACAGAGCAAAACATTCTCAAGGTTGATTTAAGGTTGAGGTATTCTGTGTTGAATCAAACTTCACACCAATTTGGCTTCACCCTCATTGGCATCAATCTTGATTTTACCTAGAGAAAAGTTTACTCTGTGCATTTAATTAATTCAAATACACAAGAGATTGATCATTTTCAATTTGTATTGTGTTCATGACGAAACAGCAATAGGAATTAAAAACTAAAAGCACATGATTATACTTGAAGTATAATGTTAACAAACAAAAATGTGCATTCTCACAAATCTATGTTAATAAAGTTGAGATCTATAATTGCATTTGTATAATTCTAATCCTTATTTTTATAATTCATGTGTGTAATTCATTTTTTAAATGTTTTTTTCCAACAGGTTGCTCCTAAAAATATGTTGTGCTGTGGAAAAAAAACGTAAAATGCTGAATAGCCTATTATATGTGTAGTAAAAATACTTTATAATACGTAAAAAAATTTATGTTATTTTTTTACAGACAATCAGACTACTACATTCTAATAAATGTTCATGCTTTACTACAAAGCAACCATACTGATCTTTTCATTTTCCTGATTTGTCTTAAAGGAATGTACTGCATACACTCCCCGCCAAAACTTTGGCAAGTTTATGGAGGGGGTGTACCATGTAAGTTCATTACCAGAACACATCATATTTACAAATATAATTCATGAACATTGGTAGAGTTAAATGCGAAGCTAAAATTTTCAAAATTTTTCTATCATATTCTTTTTTGTGTAAACTACAAAAAATGACCATACAAATGTATATTGAAGATATGTTGTGTACAATGTAATACAGTAAACACTATGTAAAATATAAATAATTATATTCTTGGAATGGTACAAGTTTCATCACAATACTAGTATTCCTTTTAAAATACATGTTATTCAATCTTAAAAATGCAAGTGAACAATTCAATTTTCTAATTGAATAGATTGCAGTGTCAAGAATACTTGAAGATTAAGTTTCATGGAAAGTTAAAGTTTGATACTAGTTACACGGTAGTGTTACTCTAACATTTGATCAACTTTATGCAACTAATTTTAATTCTGACAAATTGCCAAACATCAACAAGTTACTTGTTTTGGCAAGGGGGTTAAATCAGCTTTTCCTGAACTTCAAGGCTTCTGCTCAATGATCACATAAAATCAACCTGCATCACCCAACATTGAAAAATCTAGGTGTTTCTCTAAAACCATTGCGTATTCTATGTTACATTTACATTTGGTTTGAGCTTAGCTCTTTTTCACATTTCTTTATGTCACATTATCATTATATCAGAGGCTACCCTATAGGTACTAGTAAGGTAATGTGAAAACCTTAGCAAAAGGGAACCCTTAAACATTGCCTTGGGCAAAGTACCTCCAAAGGAGCCCCATACAATTAAATGAGGGAATCTACTCCATCAGGGAAGCTTATACTGTTGATATCTAAGGCAAGATTCCCCTCAGGGAGCCTCGTTATGAATCCAATCCTTAAACTGTATTAGAACCTATTGTTAAAACTAGGTTTGGAGCTACTCCTCGAATACTGTGAGTACTGCGTGTCTGTCTCTTGATTTTCTATGGTTCCCACCATCTCCCATTGTTCAGGCACAGTGATTTTGGAGTTTAGAGCACACCATAGAATTACATTAAACAGGAAACCTAGAGCCTGAAAACATAAATTATGTATCATATAAGTACTAAAGTTTTATTCAATGAGACCAGGGGCCACCTTCAGTGCTCTCCCCAACATTTAGTGTTAATAATTTTGTTACTTTTTTAATTGCACCATTATAGAATTTTGCAATTTTAGTGTAACATTTGACAATTTCATATTTTTTTGTGTAATATCTTATGAGGCACATTGAATTGAATTGAGCATTTTGGTATTATAAATACATTGGGGTGTTGCACCTCAGTGATTTCAATGTGGTGAGAGCACTGCCTTTGGGGTAAAATGGAGGTTCTGGGAGGTGTACTTGACCATCTAGTTTGTAAATCTATTGGAGCCATTTGCTTACCATGCTCTAATATGAAACCTTTAGGGTCATAGCAGAGAAGTGTGAACTGGAACATTTTAATTTTAAAAAACCAAATTTACAATTATTTCTATTACTTATTACACACATACAAGTATAAGTAATAATAATAACTAGATTTGTGAAATTGAACAAGTTCAATTTAAGACTCCAGATTTATTTGACCTAGATAGATCAGTAAAGAGCTGAGTAAGTAACTGAGTAATTAGCTGAGTAAGTACCTTAGTAGTATTTGAGTAAGTAGCTGAGTAAGTAACTGAGTAAAAAGCTGAGTAGGTAGCTGAGTAAGTAGCTGAGTAAGTAGCTGAGTTAGTAGCTGAGTAAGTTGCTAAGTAAGTAATAACTAATTAAGTAATTGAGTAAGCAGTCAAATAAGTAACTGAGTAGGTAGAGAGGTAAAGTAGGGTATGCAGTATGCAGTATATTTGATCAATCTGCATCGTGAATACTGGCAAGTGCGAATTTCAAACTTCAAAATGGCGTAGAATCTAAACCGGGGGTCGGATTGCAATTTTAATTTCAGATCCGGATTCCTGAGGAAATTCCACCCCTAATTCATGACTCATACTTTAAAATTGGAGAACTTTTTATTTTGACCTATATTTCGGACACCATATCTCAAAAGTAGGTCAAAAAACTTATTGACGGCAAAATGTTAACATTATTAGCACACTCTTTACTACAAGTATACAAAATTTCGGAGAATATCATTGAAGTGTAGTGTCAGAATCGCAAAATAAAAAAAAAACTATGAATTTGACCTAGATTTTGATCTAGGTATTTTGGTGTCCAAACTTTGAAGGAAAGTAGCTTTTGAGGTCCCCTTCTTCTATGGGCTTTCATTATGTTTAGCTTTAGTCATTCTATATCTCGTATTTTTACACTTCAAAAAATTATTCGGTCCCATTGATTTAACATGGGGCTCCAAATTTAGCGATTTTTGAGATTTCAAAACGCCATAACTTCCGCACGGGTAGTCGGATCAAAATTTGGTTTGCAGATTCGGATTCCTGATAAAATTCTACCCCTTATTTATAACTCATACGTTAAATTTGAAGATTTTTTTATTTTGACCTACTTTTGGGACACCATATCTCAAAAGTGGGTCAAAATACTTTTTGACGGCAAAAGGCTAACACTATTACCATACTCTTGGCTACATGTATACACAATTTCGAAGAATATAATTAAAGTGAAGTGTCAGAATCGCAAAAATAAGGAAAAACTTTAGAATTTGACCTAGATTTTGACCTCGGCATTTGTGTGTCCAAATTTTTAAGCTAGATGGCTTTTGAGATCCCCTTCTTTTAAAAGCTTCCATTATATTTAGCTGAACTCAGTATATATTTCGTATATTTTACTTCAAAAAAATCTTTTTTTCCCATTGATTTAACATGGGCACCAAATTTAGCGATTTCTGAGCTTTCAAAACGCCATAACTTCCAAACAAAAAGTCGGATTGAAATTTGGTTTGCAGATTCGGATTTCTGGGATAATTCTACCCTTAATTCATAACTCATACGTTGAATTTGTAGAATTTTTTATTTTGACCTACTTTTCGGACACGCCATAACTTCCGAACCGGAAGTCTGATCGAAATTTGGTTTGCAGATCCGGATTCCTGACAAAATCCTACCCCTAATTCATAACTCATACGTTAAATTTGAAGAACTTTATATTTTGACCTACATTTGGGACACCATATCTCAAAAGTGGGTCAAAATACTTTCTGACGGCAAAAGGCTAACACTATTAGCACACTCTTGGCTACATGTATACAAAATTTTGAAGAATATAATTAAAGTGTAGTGTCAGAATCGCAAAAATAAGGAAAAACTTTGAATTTGACCTAGATTTTGACCTAGCCATTTTGGTGTCCAAATTTTTAAGAAAAGAAGGATTTGAGGTCCCTTTCTTTTATGGGCTTCCATTATGTTTAGCTGTACTTAGTCTATATCTCATATTTTACACTTCAAAAAAATCTTTTCTTCCATTGAATTAACATGGGACACCAAATTTAGCGATTTTTGAGCTTTCAAAACGATATAACTTCCGAACCGGAAGTCGGATCGAAATTTGGTTTTCAGATTCGGAATCCTGAGAAAATTTCCTACAAGACCAGTAGCGTGGACATTGAATTGGGAGAACTTTTTTTTGGACCTCGTTTTCGGACACTGATATCTCGAAATCGGTTTGAGATATCAAAAAACTAAATCGACTTGTTTTCCCCTACTTTTTTATGAGGAACACAATGAAAAAAACCCGGATTGAAAATATTGAAGGACGACCGAGAAAATTGAAAAAAGTGACAAAGTACTGGATTTGACCTAGTTCTTGACCTTTGACCTAGATAAAAATTTGACCTAATTTCCCATCATCCCAGATACATTCCCTAGTTGATCATGTAAGCAGCTTAAAGTAAACTCTTCTAGTTGGTGAGAAATCTGGGAAGGAGGAAGATTCTGAAAGAATAATAATAACTAGATTGGTAAATTGAACAAAGTTCAATTTAAGACTCCAGATTGATTTACTTGAGTAAAGAGCTGAGTAAGTAACTGAGTAAGTAACTGAGTAGGAAGCTGAGTAAGTAGATGATTAAGTAATTGAGTAAGTAGCTGAGTAGGTAGCTGAGTAAGCAGCTGAGCAGGTAGCTGAGTAAGTAGCTGAGTAGGTAGCTGAGTAAGTAGCTGAGTAGGTAGCTGAGTAGGTAGCTAAGTAGGTAGCCGAGTAGGTAAGTAGGTAGGTAAGTAGGAATTTTTGACCGGAAGTCGGATTGAAATTTGGTTTGCAGATTTGGATTCCTGAGGAAATTCTACCCTTAATTCATAACTCATAAGTTAAATTATGAGAACTTTTTATTTTGACCTACTTTACGGACACCATATCTCAAAAGTGGGTCAAAATACTTTCTGACGGCAAAAGGCTCTCACTATTAGCACACGCTTTGCTACCTGTATACAAAATGTTGAAGCAAATCCTAAAAGTGTAGTGCCAGAATCGCAAAAATAAGGAAAAACTATGAATTTGACCTAGATTTTGACCTAGGCATTTTGGTGTCCAAATATTGAAACTAGGTAGCTTTTGAGGTCCCATTCTTTAATAGGAATTCATTATCTTAAGCTGTACTCAATCTATATCTCGTATTTTACACTTCAAAAAAATCTTTTTTCCTTGACTTTCTATCAGGATACCATCAGATCGATTTTCCGAAATTTCAAAACGCCATAATTTCCGAACCGGAAGTCGGATCGAAATTTGATTTAAAGATTCGGATTCCTGACAAAATGCTACCCCTAATTCATAACTCATACGTTAAATTTGGCGAATTTTTATTTTGACCTACTTTTTGGACACGCCATAACTTTGGAACCGGAAGTCGGATCGAAATTTGGTTTGCAGATTCGGATTCCTGAGAAAATTCTACTCTTAATTCATAACTCATATGTTAAATTTGGAGAATTTTTTATTTTGACCTACTTTTCGGACACCATATCTCAAAAGTGGGTCAAAATACTTTCTGACGGCAAAAGGCTTACGCTATTAGCACACTCTTGGCTACATGTATACAAATTTTCGAAGAATATAATTAATCTGTAGTGTCAGAATCGCAAAAATAAGGAAAAACTTTGAATTTGACCTAGATTTTGACCTAGGCATTTTGGTGTCCAAATTTTTATGAAAAGAAGGTCTTGTGCTCCCTTTCTTTTATGGGCTTCCATTATGTTTAGCTGTGCTTAGTCTATATCTCGTATTTTACACTTCAAAAACATATTTTTTCCCATTGAATTAACATGGGGCACCAAATTTAGCGATTTTTGAATTTTCAAAACGCCATAACTTCTGAACCGGAAGTCTGATCGAAATTTGGTTTTCAGATTCAAAATCCAGAGAAAATTTCCTATAAGACTGATATCCTGGACATTGGATTCGGTGAAATTCTTTTTGGACCTCGTTTTCGGACACTGATATCTCGAAATCGGTTTGAGATACCAAAAAACTAAATCGACCCTAGGTTTTCTACTTTTTTATGAGGAACACAATGAAAAAAACCAGGATCAAAAATATTGAAGGACTACCGAGATAATGGGAAAAAGTGACAAAGTACTGGATTTGACCTAGTTCTTGACCTTTGACCTAGATAAAAATTTGATCTAATTTCCCATCATCCCAGATACATTCCCTAGTTAATCATGTAAGCAGCTTAAAGTAAGCTCTTCTAGTTGGCGAGAAATCTGGGAAGGAGGAAGAAGAAGAAAGAATAATAATAAAAAGAAAACTGGCAAAAGCAATAGACTCCAGATTTTCATCTGGAGTCTAATAATAATAAAGAAAACTGACGAAAGCAATAGACTCCAGATTTTCATCTGGAGTCTAATAATAATTTACATAATAAACGAATCCTGTTCTTTATCAGATAACATTTTCTGGCAGATTCAGAAGCGAACAAGGGGGGCTCATTTCAAATCAGAATAAAAAGTTTACAAAAATAATTTTGGGCCCCTGAAACCAAAAACTAGGTCCAAAGTTTGAAAATGTAAGGCCCATTTTTTGATAACTTGGCATAAAATTAAAGAATGAGGCTCAAAAAGGCCCACTTATTGAGGCCCTATAAAACATTTGGGGCCAACTTAGGAGGCCCCTCCCTCTGGATCCACCAGTGACATTGAATGTGTTCTTATACTTAGGTTTATTTATGATTTCTGACTTACTTCAAAACCCACTAGAATGATGGATACACATATTATCAAGACACCATGTCTCTCAAACATCCAAATGAGCCTCTCACTACATCCCTGCAACATATAGAAAAAACCATGTTATGTTTGAGGGTGAATAATTAAACCTGCACATCACTCAGAACACAATCTTGCGTTGTTCCAGGGCCAACTGTAAGATTTTGTTTTTACACATGATTCCCCATTCAGTAAAGCCATCTATAAATTGATTCATTAATTTACATATTTCAAAACATAAGAAAGCAGTCAAGATGACAGTACCCCATGATATGGATTATAAATTACCAAAAAGTCTTTCGAAATATGTTAAAAACAGATCATTTGTTCCCTTTAAGTAACAGTACTTTAGTTTGTAGCTAAAAATTAAGAGTTTCTTCTCATAATCAAAAATATGCATACTGTAAATCGCTTTAATTTGGCAGATTTTGCAAATATTGATATTCTGACTGCTATTCAATTTGGCAGGTTGATTTTCAAAAAATTGGTGGAGACTTAAAAAAACACCAAATTAAAATGACTATCAAAATAAAGCAATTTACAGTACTATGTATAACTGTTAATTGAAAATTGATCCCTGGACTTACTGAGACAAATGTTGGTCTGGCAAGATTACAGACAACGGTATCTTGGTCCCAACTGCTGCAGCAAGAGGATGGAACCCTGCCATTATTACTCCACTGTCTTCCCCAGTTAGAGTTGGCATAGTCTACAGGTCCATCACCACCACAACACTGCATCTGTTAGACAAAAAGAGGATATTTAAAGTAGTACTCAAGTAAAACAGAATGTTATTTTTAAAGGAGTATGTTGGTAATACAGAGAATGGTCGATTTAAATGAGTTATTCAATATTACAGTGACTGGTCAATATTACAGAGTATGGTCTATTTAAATGAGTACTCCAGTGATACAGGGAATTTTCAATCTCATGCTTTACTTACTCTTCTCTGCATGTAGTCTATAGAGAAAGTATGAGTGTCACTTTGCCCATAGTCAAACCTTATACCCTCTTTTATACAGTCGGTAATCTGCCTTTTAAACTGAAAAATGTCATATTGATAGGATATAGGATTGATTGATTCACTGGATCAACCACATATGTAACTTGTAAGACATTTCACTGACATTAACTTATAACATCTAACTTATATTGGAAAATACATGTAGTCAAACCAATCAGATTAAAATTCCAGTGTACGAATTGCAAAAATATTTATTAATTTATCTACATGTATTTATAATGGTCTACTTTTCACTTTTCATACATAATCAGCCCAACATGGCGTGGCAAAATTACTAGGAGGAACATTGTATGGCATAATTTACCTCTTCTTTCCATATGAAGCCTAAGATTCCAACCACAAGCTGTGTAAGAACTACAATCAACAGTGCTATGCAGAACTGGAAAATAGTTCAAAATAATTATTCATCTGGTCTAACAGCCAACAATGTTTAGATACAACTGTATGCATAGTTGCAATTGTAATAAATTTCAATTGTAATGAAGCAGAACCAAACATTCAAGTTTATCCAAGGAAAATACAATATATTTTCTGTCACATTAACAACTTTTATAGAAAGGATCTAATAAGCCACGATATAGTCAATTATAATGTCAATATAATGTCAATTATTGAGCTAAAACAACAAAGATGACTTCCACCTCTTCTCTTACAGAATTGTTTTCACAGGAAAAATTATATTAAAGTACTTACAATTCCTAAAAAAGTTGTTTTTTCCTTATGAGCTCCATATACACCTAAAAGTCCTGTAACTGCCATTATAAATCCTGATCCCATCAGCAAATATGACAGTATCCAGTAGTGAGATACCCAGCACATGTTGGACACTCTAGAGCCATTGATGAAGCTACCATAAAGGGGATCAAGCCGAAGATACAATGCAAATGCAAGTAATAGTATTCCACCAATGAACTGCAAATGAAACATAACTTGGTTAATACATGACATTTTTAAATTAGAAAACAAAAGTATCTTATTGGTTTTACCCAGTAGTTTTCTAGAGCAAAGTTCGATGTGAGAGTGTCTATTAATTTGATATTTCTATGGTTTTTGAGCCAAGCCCACGAGTATTTTTCCTTGATGTTGTATAAGTCTGGGTTGATTTTGGGTTAAGACATGGGTATTCAATAAAGCAGGGCTGTCAACACAAAAAATTCCTTGAGGGACAGATTTTTAGACCTAAATTTCAAGGGATTTGGGTGATCCCACAAATAAGCCAAGTTTGATCAAATTCGAGAGACAATCATACTAATTGATGGACAGTTGACAGAAGTGGTCATGTAGCAATTTAACTTTTGATCCTACAATTTTTCAGTTAGAGTAGATTTCATGGCCTGACTTCGTCGGTAGAACTTGAAAAATAAGATTTATCTGAAGATTAGGAGTCTTACTTACTTACTTTAGAGGTTAGAACACACATTTTAATGAAACCATATCAGCTATGTTTTGTTCATGATGAAGCATAAGCACAGTACATTTGTACTTGATTGAAATTTGTGTTAATGCTTTTTGGACTTTTCCATTTTCCTCGTGTTTACTTCCGGGGCCGGCTTTGCCTCTATCACGAAATACTGTATTGACCTTGAACTTTAATTTTGTGACATATCATCCAACCATGTTTGATGTAAAAATAATTGAAATTTTGAAAATAATGTTTTGTGGTCTCTTCTGCAGACGAGTTTAGGACAGGGCAGAGGAGGATGGCCTGTTCTAAGATAGAAAAAGTGCATAGATCTACAGTTGAACTATTGGTCTGAATGAAATGCTGCGCGGAAGTATGAATGGGTCGTCACCTGTATTAGTCTATTAATATTCTAGGACCTGTTTGTGATGCTTTATAATTTAGACCAAAGTGTAGACGAATACACGCACGTGTAAATTATAAAATCAACGAACAAAGATTCAATTTTCACAAATGTTCGGTAATTTATCGTATTTACTAGGAAATCATTCATTTTCACGATCCATAATTTACCTCTTGGATATTGTGCTAAATGCTCTATAGTTCCATAACAAAGGTGATAGAGTTTCATTAAAATGTGTGTTCTAACCTCTAGAGGGTAAGTAAGACTCCTAATCTTCAGGTAAATCTTATGTTTCAAGTTCTACCGATGAAGTCAGGCCATGAAATCTACTCTATCTCGTGAGTACAACATAACTGTGAATACGCTCGATGAACACCAGAAAGGTCACAAGACGACTTGATACAACTTCCTGTGATCTAAAAAAGGCTACGACCAATAGATGTCACTGTCGGGTGTTGATACAGGTACCTGTGCCTAGAATAGGCCTAATGACTCATAATATTTTTTTCGATCTGAATGATCAAAGTTTGATCTAAGTTTTATGCGGAAGTGTCGTTATATTTGTTGATTGAGTTGTACTTACCCAGAATATTGCGTTCCACCACACTGATAGAGTTTTTATACACCTCAGATCACTTCTTAACGCCATCCTGTCAGCCACAAAGCAGCATAAATATGCTGTAATGTGAAAATAATTTATCCGGTTTTTAAATTTTATCTTGACCTACATCCGGGGTTTTTCTTAATTGAAAAGACTGCAGCCTGAGAAGTACAAAACGGTAAGCATTTAAAATTGGCAACATTTGAAAGACAGTCTTACTTTTATTCAATGTCTCAAAATCAAAGCCAAGATATCCATTAAATATTGAACAATACAATTAGATAAAATATGAAACAAAATAGCGTCTTTTTGAATAAATACGGTGTATCTTTCATTACCAATTTGGTCACTCACAGTTACTTTGAGCAGACAGGTCCTGGAACATGTTGGTGCAAAATTGAATCTCTTCAATCATTGGTAAATGTACATGTAAGTTCATCAGATGTAAAGTTATGCTATTTATCTTTGAGTTTAAGAATTTTTTTACTCTTCGAAGTGAGCATATTAATGCCACGCTTTATAATTAGATCTAGATCTATACAACAAAATATGGCCCCTGTTGATTAATTTGAACAATAGACAATCATAAACCCATTATAAGTCACTGTTTCAATGAATCACATAAAATGGAATTTGTAGTATATACTAAGAGATGTGATTATTGCCTCTCGAAAGCCCATGTTATGTTTTCTAGTGTTGTCGCGACTAATCGATACATCGCGATATACATCGCCAAAGCTGATTCTGGCAATGCATCGCTATCTTAAACAAAACATCGATTTTCAAAAAAAAATTAAATTTGCTAAAAATCACCCTTTCGTATCTCATTTTGATCATTTTGACACAAATGTCTTACCTTTCTCATGTCTTAATTCATTTTCCAATGTTCTCTGATATTCTTTCTCTTTAAAACTGTTTTAGCTGGTCGAAACGAACCATTGATCTAACATTTTTCACGTTACTTTCACTTCACTGTTACCGGAATTACCTGGATATACCAGTGTTTTGTTATTTATTTGTTGAGTCGGTATTCTAGTGCATTAGCGTTCGGTATTTCTCGATGTACATCGCGATGTGTATTGATGTTTACTCCTGAAAATTGCCGATGCACTGATGTACGATAATGGCACATTGCAACAACACTAACGTTTTCTTCAATAGACAATCATAAACCCAGTTATAAGTCACTGTTTCAATGAATCAAATAAAATGGGATTTGTAGTACAAAACTAATAGATGTGATTATTGCCTCTCAAAAGCCATTAACACGGGGTACCATCGAATAATTTTGGCAACGTACCGGAGAACGACATTTTACTAAGAAATGGCAATAATTTAGCACAATATATTTTTTAACTAGAGTTCTACTTTGATTTTGACAAAAGTAAGTATTCCATGCAATGGCTATTTCATTCATGAGTTTGTAGGAATTCTGTTGGAACCCAGTTCTGATCAAGTACGAAGTTATTGACTTTTGAAAAAAGTACAGAATGGTCCTTATACTATTGAATAATTCTGTTATTTCTGATTCACACGACTCTGATTTGTTTAATTAAAAAAAAGTTTTAAAAATATTACTTAGGAACGTAACCGGAGCTGGGAACGTAACTGGAGCAGATCAGTTGAATTATATAATTTAAAAAAATAAAATATATGATTTAAAGCATATACAGTATATTAATAAATACGCATTCGAACAATCCCGTATGTTTTTAAATTAGTATATGTGCTTTAAATCATATATTTTATTTTTTTTGATTAAATAATTCAACTGATCTGCTCCGGTTACGTTCCCAGCTCCGGTTACGTTCCTAAGTAATATTTTTAAAACTTTTTTTTAATTAAGCAAATCAGAGTCGCGTGAATCAGAAATAACAGAATTATTCAAAAGTATAAGGACTATTTTGTACTTTTTTCAAAAGTCTATACTTAAATGTTGTGAAAAGTTATAATCGAAAAACCATCTTTCGGAGTAAAGTCCGTCTGCGCCGATTTCAATAACTTCGTACTTGATCAGAACTGGGTTCCAACAGAATTCCTACAAACTCATGAATGAAATAGTTATTGCATGGAATACTTACTTTTGTCAAAATCAAAATAGAACTCTAGTTAAAAAATACATTGTGCTAAATTATTGCCATTTCTTAGTAAAATGTCGTTCTCCGGTACGTTGCCAAAATTATTCGATGGTACCCCGTGATTAAGCCACAATAATTTTGTAGGGTTCGAAATGACACTTCACACCATTAGGAGATTTATAATAAGATCAGCTCTAAATCATAACTCACATAAGAGACAAAGGAATCTACATGTTTGCAATAGATGTCAGCTCTGTACCAAGTCAGATCTTGCAAATCCAAGAAACATCCAGGGATCTTTTAAGAATCAACCAATCACAGGCAGTCTTCATAATGGGAATCAAGAAACTGGCAAGTCTCTTCATGTACCAGTGATGGTGAATGAAGTTTTGGAGTATCTAGATCCCCAGCCAGGCCAGGTATGGTACAGAAAACTAAACTAAGTGTATGACTTCCCATCCTCCAATCACAGGGCTTCAAAATCCAGAATATATTCTTTCTTTTTACCCCTGCGATAAGCAGTTAGCATTTCCCCGATTAAGAACTCGCAATCTGGCTGTCGCAACACTGCGACAGAAATCATGTATAAGTCATTGTGCATTCATAATTAGATCACATGATTCAGTTTAATCGGGCGCTTCCAAATTGATTATAGCAGGGGGAAGAAGGAGGTACGGATTCTGGATACCTGCTTAGGAGGTTGATGACTTCCTCAAGTTTATTTATCATACAGTACAATATGAATTTACATTATTACAGGTGGATGGCCAATACTACAGGCAGATGACAAACAGATGGCATTCATGCAATAATATAATCAAGTTCATAGTAGTACATGTAGCATTAATGTTACTGAAGTATGACATGTGACATATTATTATATCATGGTTTCATAACCAATCAAGTATATTTGTGAGGACCCGGGGCAATAGTTAAATAATAACAATCAAATCACAGGGGAATACGTTTAACTAATCACAAAACCAGGGCCGTCACTAAATGGGGGAAAATAAACAAATAACACAATTGGTAGCGTGACGAGTAAATATGGGGGCAAATGAAATAGATACAACAACAATGAATGGTAGCGTGGAAATTTGGAAAGTAAATTGGAATAAGCGTAATTTAAATCAATGGTAGCGTGGAAGTGAAAATAGTTAAATTAAAGTGAATGTTCAATTTATATGAAAGGGCACTAAAGTGTATAATATGAAATAAATTAAGAAACAAATAGATTAAAGTTTAATAAATCTATTGTAATCAAAATAATACTCAAAAATACTAGTACAAATACAATATTACAAAAACACACCAGAATACATTAAGTGGCTTACCCATACTGTCGTTTCCTTTGTTCAATGATATCCAACATGTTTTAGCTTATGTCTAAAAATGTGTAGAAACCAAGTGTTCCTGTCAAGGTCTGGTGTAAAAGTGCCTCTTGACCAAAGGAAACAGACAGTTTATATTCTAAAAGTTGCCAAATTACCATATTATTGTACCGCACCTGGCCCTGGGACCAGGCACTGAACAAAGGGATGATTCTTACAGCTAAGGGATTATCTAAGAAAGCCAGACTGTAACTAATTGTCTATTCAAAAAGTTTGAATAGAGTTCACTTGGTTCAGACTAAAGCTCTGCTATAGCAGCAGCATATAGACTGCACTGAATGAACAGGTCAAAGGGTCACAAAGTACAATGCAAAACTTTATGAAGGAAAAAATGTGAAACGAAAATGTAACTTTAAATATTAAAACATGGAAATAACATTGCTATAATTAAAACTAAATATAATACATTGATATTAAGAAGGATTTAACACGATGACCAGTGATCAGAAAACAAGGGTATACCACCTTTGATCACGGGTCATCACATCACTCCCCCTTTAAAAACAGGTTCGACCCGAACCTCGATAAAAACAAACTATAGTTCATAAGTCTATGAGCTGTTAACTTAGATAACAAAATGTTCACGTTATTTAAAGTCCACAGGGTAGATATCCAAGAAGATAATAAATGTTCATGGTTCTCCATTTAATTGTAACATGGAGTACACCATCTTCCAGTTGTTCATCTTTAGCTAGATTTGTCATGGAGTTGTTCCAGGCATATATAATCTGGTACCACCAAGTGTCCCAAGTTTCACCCACTGTTGATTCCTCTAGCCATCTTCAGGTTTTGTTGGATTTGTTGGTCGGACAAACTTCTTCATCACAGCAGAGGTAGTCATGTCCTTCTCGGTTCACACGGTTCACAGAGACAAGGTTCACAGGATTCCACTACTGGATGGGCATGATGAGTGACACAAAGCAATCTCTTATGAAATTACGGGAAAATTCCAAAGAGTTTGTCATGGGAAAACGTTCCATCCACCAACAATTCGATCCACCTCAGGAATCAATTTCAGTAACCAGGTAGCGAGCAGTTTTCCAACTTTCCAAGGGTCAGGGGGCAAATTCATTTAAATTTCTCCCAGAACAATGTTGGCGCAAATCAGGGTCAAGTTCCTCAAATTGATGGACAAATGACTGGGGACTAAAGCTTCCTGGGTATCAAAACTGGCATTTTTGGTCACACAACAGGGCCAAATACAAAACCAGCTATCCATTTTCACAGTTGGGTCATGTTCATTTCAAAAGGGTCAGAAGTGCCTGTAGACCAAGGCATATCGAGACAATAATCAGATTACACGGTTCCAGGACTAACAATTCAAACAGATGGGGTCATTGTCACATCAATGTCAATGCTGAGATGATTTATAACAGGCTTTCCTTGGGTTCCTCGAGCTCATCAGTTTGGCTGCTGAGAGGGAGTATATATCCAAGTGCAACCTAGGGGTCACAATTATGGCAGTCAACATTTGGGAACAAGGACAATAGGGGGAGCTGGAGGCTCCTTGATGGGTTGGGCATCTCCGGGGTCAAGTTCATTGTCAGGGAAACAGTTTAAATTAGTAACATTTTCAAATGACAAACAGTCAACTTTCCCATGTTCAGGAAGCAAATCACTCCCTTCAGCCATAACACTGAGGCAAATCGGGTCACGGTCCTCCTCTACAGGACAAGATAAATGACTGGGGACAACAGGGTCCCTAAATAGCAGTTCAGGGCAAATAACAGGGTCAACCTGGTCAAGAGTCAACGGAGTTGCTTTCTGCAACTCATTCAAGTGTTTGGCGACCATTATATCAACAAAATCATCGCTGCTATCAGTCAGGGGAACATCAGCCTCAAGGGTTTTACAAGGGTCTTGACATGGGGGAACAGAATCAACTTCACAGTGTTTCTTTGACAAATCCTCTCGGGCAGGGGGCAAAAGGTCATGGATCGGCTCCCCAGATGCAATGGGTATACTTTTATATAACGTCACTGGCTGGGGGCAATTGTAGCCACTTTGGATTTTAAAACTGGTGGGCCTTTGTGGCTTGGATGCTGAATCGAGGCCCACCGACTCAGCACATTCTAGTTTCCCGAATAGGTTGGGGAATTGGCCTTAAGGGCAGGGCAGTCAGACACCACATGGCCATCAACACCACATTTGAAGCAAACTCGGGCTCCAGTGACTTTGGAGTTTGGATGTCTGTGAAGACAATCAAATATGCTGTGCTCCCGAGTATCACATAGTTTACAATACTGGGCACGTGTGGGCTTGGACATGGGCCGTCGGTCAACCTTCTCCTTCAGGGCCTGGGCAATGGATTGGTGAAGAGCCTCCATTTGTTTTTCCATCATCTTAGAAAACTGGGAAATCAAACTCATTGGGGATTCAGATGAAGGGCTTTGGACATGGGCCTCAGTTGCTCGAAGCTCAGGATCATGAGTTGCTCGCAAACGTTTCTTGCGACCTTTGAAAAAGGATTCGTATTGTAGGGCCATGGTAAGGGCCTGGTTAAGAGAAGTGGGCTTGGCGAATGAAAGTTTTGCCTCAAGATCCACATTATTTAAGGCGTCAATAAATGACTGCATTGCTTGGTTCTCAATACCAGACTTAGGCATACCCAGGCTACCATATGCGTTGCGGGCAAGTTTTCTAACCTCATGGGCTAACTTCTCAAGGGGTTCATCAGGGCCTCGGAGTCTATTTTTCAAAATGGCTCGGGCATTGTCACTTTGTTGAGGAGGCTCATAGTTCATCTGCAGGGCATTGATGATAGAGTCAAGGTCAGGATCAACCCCTTCTTCTATATCATCAAGAACATTGGCTGCCTCGCCCTCAAGACTTCTGACCAAATAGATCGCAGCCTCATCACTATCCCAACCATTATTTTTGGAGACTAAACGGAATTGGATCAAAAATGCTGTCAAACTACATTTTCCATCGAATTTGGGGGACCTCATCTCCCGTTTCTTATTGTAGATTGGTTTCGGACTTTGGATTTTTGACTCACTCCCTCCTGAAGAACTATTATCACACCATTTGGGAAGGTCAGTGGAACGTTTCTTGTATTTCTTCGTCTGCAGTAGTGAATCGACCTTACTCAAGGGATCCCTGGGGGCATAAGACATCTGTTCAAATGGGTCAGAATGGGCTGTTTCATACCCCATTGGAATTGACTGGGAAGGCACTAGGTTATGGGATTCCTGCCTCTTTGTGTGCGGAGAAATGGGGGAATGGTGATTGAAGGGCATAGGTCTAGACTTAAGATGCCCCTTAGATCTGGGAGTTATACTGGATCTGGACTGTTGATCAGATACCCATGACATGGTATCGGATTCCCTCCCAGTATATCTTGAACATAGGGGAGCTACAGAGAACTCGCCCCTTGCATATTCCCTCCCAGTGTGCATTGGGCTGAGGGGAGCTCCGGAGAGCTCACTCTGGATTTTTCCCCAAAAAGAGTGCCTTGGGCTTAGGGGAGCTTCAGAGAGCTCACCCCTGAGATAATAATCACCATGATGCAATGGACTAAGGGGAACTCGTGAGAGCTCGCCCCTTGCATATTCCCTCCCCGTGTGCCTTAGATGCAGGGGAGCTCCATTGAACTCCCTCCTTGAGTATATTTCCCCATGAGGCAATGGGCTTGGGGAAGCTCGGGAAGGCTCATCCCACGGATTTGTCCCCCCTGGGTGTTTTTGAAAAGTGAGAGTTCTTGCGGGCTTACCACTTGGGTGCTTCTTTCCAGGATGCATCGAGCCCAGGGGAGCTTGGATAGGCTCACCCTGCGAAAATTCCCCCTTAAAATGCTCTTGGCTTAAGGGAGCTTGAGAAGGCTCACCCGATGAATTGGTTTTCTCTGGGTATGTTTGAGAAGTGGGAGCTCTTTCGAGCTCACCACGGGGGTATTTCTCCCCAGTATATCTAGAAACGAGGCGAGCTTGGGAAGGCTCACCCTCCGATGATTCCCTCTGTAAACGCCCTTGGCTTAGGGGAGCTTGAGAAGGCTCACCCCATGAATTGGCTTCCCCTGGGTATGTTTT